ATTGAAGGTTTCCTTATTAATTAGCTGGTGGGTCCCACGATCAACATGTTTTTTTCTTACTGCCAACTTCATTTCAACAATAATGGCATCTTCATTATTGCTTTGGACGCAGCACGCCCTTGCATGGAATCGGCCCAACTAAATCCATAAATTTGTGGTACGTAGTAAACCATTAATGGCAGCAAAAGGAAGAATGAGAATGCTTTCATATGGTCTCGTCATCACTTTACTTTACGATATTCCACATTAATAATAATGCGGTCTAAACCAAGGCAAATACTGTCACATCATCACCACTATTATTTGCTTTCGCTCAATGCTTGCATATTATTTCTTCTTTTTGTGGTTCGAACCACATATCAGTAGCTTCATTTTCCCCCCTATTATTATATGCTGTTGGGTTTGCTGAATCCTGATGTTCGATGATGCACTTAATGACTTGAATGGGATCTTCAGACTATTTTAAAGAGGTTTCATATGCTCAATGACTTTGTAGCCAACAGCATGAAAACTCTTCGTTAGCGGGAGGTTTTAGGTTTGATTCCATTTTTCTTTTATAAATTATTAAGCTCTTTGTCAGAATATATATATATATATATATATATATATATATAGAGTCAAAAATTTAACAGCAGAGTCGAAAAGCCCTCAAGAAAGATATGTAGTATTGAATGTAATCCTTCCAATCCATTTATTCACGGGAACATAATTAATTATGCTGATTCATTGGGGAAGCAAAATCTATTGTCAATATGGTAAAATATTTAGATGGTAAGAAGTAGAGTCTGCACAAGACACATATTTATCTTTTGAGAAACCATTTATTGATTATGCAGAATTTTATTCAGATCGATAAGCAGCGAAGTTATTTTCAAGGTAGACATCCAAGAAAAAGAGTTTTTAATGAACAAAAGAATGCATGAAAAGAAACTAAAGAGAGGAAAGCTCACATATGGCCACTTTGAAGTGCTGTTTACGTAGAAAAGATTGTCACAAATTTAAGAGAAATGTGGAAAAGTCCTCAGGAAGTAGAAATAACGTTAAATATGATTGTGACACAAGAAATGTCTATGAGATATAGGGAACGAATTTCAGTACTACGCAGCGGCAAGGAGCTCATCACCACTACGCACCGTTTCATTGAAGTTAGGAATGATCTTTTCCGGTCGATGATGAGCGATCTAGTTGCACATAGAAATTTTGAAAGTTTACGCCGTTTCAATCCTCTCTCTTCGTTCCCCATTCCTCTTCAGCATCGTCTTCAGATTGGAGAAATGAAAGAGGGAGGAAGGAAGCAGGGTAGAACGTCACCGTGTGTGGCATGCGAGATGCTTCAAAAGAAGACGCGGATGAGCCCCACAAGTTTGCTAAGGTGCTGTTTGGTATAAAGTATTGAAAATGAGAGATAGAATTGGGATTGAGATTCAAAAAATACGTTAAAAGAATATTTAATATGAGTGATTGGTTGTTACTTGGAATTGACCAAATGCTCATATGTGGGATTGCCTAATCTTATATAATAAAAAAGCACTCATAGTAAACACTCTTTAATTAATATTTTTTCTCAATTCCAACCCAAGTCTTGTCCTTCATTTTTAATGCTTCGAACCAAATGGCACCTAAGGTGGCATTTGGTGGGAAGCATTGAAAATTAGGGATGGGGATAGCATAAGAGAAATTGGTATTACCAAATCTCACGTCTCTGAGTTTGTCTAATTCCATATAATAAGCAATTATTCGTGCTAAATACTATTTTAATAATTTTTCTCAATTGCAATCCTAATTTCTCTCCCTCATTTTAAATACTCCACACCAAACAGAATCTAAATGTTCACAAAGTATTTGGAGCCAATAATGTCGACAATATGCCTGAGGAGGTGCCTATAAAGAGTAAGTTTGGAGGATCTTGCTTGATAGTTTGGGTGCATGGTGCTGTGGCTTTGCCTTCCCTAACATGAAAAATTTAATGTCCTGATCTTTTAGAGATATTTTTTCTGCTCCTGCTGGAGCTGGAGTAGTCGCCACTGGTAATCTTCTTCAAAGAGAATAGAAGCGAAAATTTGGAACTTGCTCCTTACTTTAAAAAATAAAAAAAATAAAAATAAAAACTTGCCTTGCATGGAGGGAACTTCATTGACTTTATCCCATAGAACGACGTCGCTGGGCAATCGAATGGATGGAGCTCATTCTTGACTTCATTAAAATAGTGCGCATAAATGATGAGCTCTTGGTGCTCATCATCATGCTTAGCACCGAAATTGATTCTTGGGAGGGGATATAGACCTAGCGTTCTAGTATGATCCTTCTGACGTGACTCATTTATTAAGTTGATTATGCTGAATTTTTCAGAATTAAAAAAAAAAGATTTCCTAATTAAATTGAGAGTGCACGTCAAAGAAAGGAGAATATATTGAAAAATTGGGAAAATAAAGAAGAGAAAAACTGACATGCACCCACTTTGAGATGATGTTTAACTGACGGGGAACAAAAAAAGAAGAAGAAGAAGAAATCTATAATCACAAAGGGCAAAGCGGAAAAGTCCTCGAGTCAATACATAGAGACATAATATTGAGCATGATACTTGCAAGTCCATTTATATCATTAATTATGCAGAATTTTTGAAAATAAAAAATCTATTGTAAATTTAAACAAAAATAGCCTGCAGAGATAAGTACTGGGTCTGGTCATTAATATAAGAGAGAATTAAAGAATTAATTTAGTTTTAAATATAAGATATCAATTCACTTTGCGTCAAATATTTATCTATTTGACTCTCGAATGATCCTTATAGGCTGTTGGTGACTACATGTGTTGAGGAGTTTTCACGAAAGAATATCAATGCACATGATTGATAGGGTATTTTAAAAATGACAATATTAATTTATTACAAATAATTAAACAAAAATAACCCGTAGAGATAAGTATTGGGTCTGGTCATTAATATAATTAGATAACTGAAAATTTAATTTAGTTTTAAATATAAGATCTCAATTCACTTTGTCTAAATATTTATCTATTTTGTCTTAAGTAATCCTTATAGGCTATTAGTGATTACACATGTTAGGGGCATTTTAGAAAAGATAATTTCAATGCACATGATTAATAGAAGTATTTCAGGAAAGACAATATCAATTTATTATAAATAATTAATTTAACTAATTTTTTTAATATTCACAAATTAGTTATCTAACTTTTAGATTAATTACTTATTTATTGTCAATTTAATATTGAATATGTTCCTCTGCTATCCATTTTATTCGATTGAAAGCTATCTTGCAAATGTACGCCAAATTTTTAAAAGAACTACATCGCTCACAATTTGTTGTCACTCGGTGGGCTGTAAGACGTTTAAAGTAGTCCCCACAAGGCTTTTGATCAATGGTTACGATTTATCATGAGAACCCCCATGACATAAAGTTTGTCTCTAATAAAGTACAAGAATGTGAAGTAAGAATGCCTGAAATTTCTGTTGAGAAATATGGCACCGCAAACTCCCCAAAAAGCCACGGCAAATCCAACTCCCAACCCAATGTAGAACAAAGACAGAAATTTATCATCTTGGTTGTCAGATCCTATGTTGGAATTCTTGTCTTCATCGTCAGTGCAATTCTTTTGAAGCGGAGGTCCGCATAGATCAGGACTCCCAATATAACTTTGCGCATCAAACCCTTGAAGTTGAGTGCCTAATGGGATCTTTCCAATAAAATTGTTGAAGGAGAGGTTCAAGGCTGCTAGAAAAGACAATTCGGCCATACTTTGGGGAATTTCACCTGAAACTCGATTATTTGCAAGATCGACAGACTCCAATTTTTTCATGTTCCCAATCTCTTTTGGAATGTTTCTCTCAAATTGATTATGAGACAAATTCAAAGATTGTAATCCCGTGAGAGCAAAAATTTCTGGAGGTATTGTCCCGGCCATCATATTACTTGATAGATCAACATAACATACCAAATTCAAGTTTCGTTTATAGCTCAATCCTTGGCCTTTCATGTGTAACAAAACCTCGTCTCTCACTATGAAAGTGCAATTTGGAGTTCTAGAGCAGTAGTTTAGAACTCCACTATTTGAAGAATCAGGGGAAACCAGGGCCGCCATGTTTTCTAGGCAAGTTGGGATTGAACGTGATATTTTGTTGTCCGCCAAATCCAATATTATGAGGGAAGTTAATTGGCGTAATTGTGTGGGATATTTCCGCGGAGTTGATTGGATCTCAGTATGATAACCCTGGCTTTGTCCCCAATCCAACTTGGTATGTGTCCTAAAAATTTGTTTTCCCCTAAATCAATGACTTGCAGGATTTGGATTTTTCAGTGACAAAGGTATCTCTCCAAATAAGTTATTTTTATTGAGATGCAAAAATGTAAGGTTGGACAATAAACTCATTGAGGGAGGTATTCTAACCCTTAGACTACTGCCACCAAGCTTAAGCACAACCAGTGATTTCCAATTCATCCAACAATCTGACAGTTCCCCAGATAATAAATTACTGGACATATCCAAAGACTTCAATTTGCTTCTCCCCTTTATTCTTTGACACACTAACCGAGAAATAGATCCTCGCAGGTAGTTGTTTGCTATACTGAAATGGACAACATTTTGTGATAACTGAGGAACCTTGCCTTTCAATTTGTTTCAATCCAAATTTATGGCTGTCGAATTCAGTAACACATTAGACATTTATCCATCAATTGCGTTATCCTCTTAGTGTAAGTATGCTAGTTGGGTCGCAAATTTCCAAAAGCCGTCTGGGGACTCGAATGAAATTCTTGGATATTTAATTCCTAAGCTGCTTAGACGTGTTTGCGTGTATATCCATGCAGGAAGTTGAGGAACCCTCATGTGTTCCAAGTGAATAGTTTCAAGTTGGAAAGGAGGAACCCAAAGAGGATTAAAGTCAAAGATCAAGCCTGGTGATCCCATGAAAAGCAACTTCAGATTCGAGAGTGTGTCGAGATTTTTTTTCGACACATGCCCCGCCAAGTTATTATAACTAAAATCTAGTTCCTCAAATTCAAGAGTTGTCCAAGATTTGCAGGAAGAGCACCACTGGAGTGGTTAGACCTGATAATAAAGGTTTTCAACGATGAGATATTTCCCAAGGTTGAAGGAACGGGGCCAGAAAAGAAATTTTCACTAAGATCGTGAAGTTGTAAATGTTGAAGTTGTCCTAACCAGTCGGGGAATTGGCCCACTGAGTCTGTTGTCCCCACAGCCAATTCTTGTGTTTTCCGGAGGTTCAATAAACCCTCTGGGAATCCCCCTCCGAAATAATTTGAGCGTAGGTTGAGAACAGTGACACCACTAAGATTGAACAGCCAGTTGGGAAAAAGTCCGAGCTAAATTCATTACTAGTGAGGATAAGAACCTCAAGCGAAGTAAAATTGATAAACTGGAGAGATGGATTTATGTTTCTAAGCTGAAAGCTTTCCAAATATAGCTCTGCGAGGGAAGGAAGTAGAGTTGCTAATTGAAGCCAGTCAAGTTTTCCTTCAAGATTAATACTCCTCCAATCCTAAATATAAGACCTACTTTGTAGTATAATTTATACTATAAAATGGGTCTTATATTTAGAACCAGAGGAGTAGCACTGTAGTCAAGATATTCCAAGGAGGGAACACGAGAAAGCCAATGAAGACTATCAAAGTGAAGATCTTCATTACTGGATAAATTGAGATAATGAAGATTGGAAGAATTTTGGCGTTCAACCAGAGATAGGTTGTTAGAGTTTGTGATGTCCACATGATCATTTTGGACGATAGCACGAAGTTATGATTGCTCAAATCCAAGTAATTAAGAAACTCAAGCTGATCAAGCAAAGACAGGTGGAGTTCACCTGTGAGACAGTGTGATCTCGTCTCTCCACAATCACCGTAAAAAGATTGTAAAGGACAAGGAAGACTGAGCTCGATGACTCTGCCGCTGGTGTTGTCATACCGAACTCCTTCCCATTCACAACAATCTCGCTCGTCGGACCAGGTGGGGAGGATGGCTGACGGATCGACAAGGGTGTGTTTGAAGTTTAGGAGAACGTGGTGGTCTCTTTCATTGCACTGCATAGCGCCTTTGCGTAGCGTGATTGAACATATCAGGAACCATAGAAGCATAATATTAGAAATACGGGAAGGCAATGAGGTATCCATGATTGCTTGAGATAGAGCCACCAATTATGGCACATATATATATGTGGCTGCCACATATAGCGAGTTTGGCCTTGATATTAAATGAAATGTAATGCTTATCTCTCTGGTATATACCATGACTCGTGGTAGCAAATGGTTGAATGGATGACTTTTGAAAAGTTGCGTCAACTTGATCCATCAAACAGCGGGACTACTCAAATTATGGGACTGAGAGGAGAGGATCTTGTATCCTTCCCTTGCCATCCTACTTCTCACACCTCTTTTTCTTTTTCTGGTCATTAAATCAATATTTCAATGGTATATGATTTTAAACATATGACTTAATCTATTTCAGTACGCGCGCAGAAGGTGAAGGGTTCAAACCACCACTCAAAATACACCTTTGAGCGGAAGGTCATGTAATCACTAGGTTCACTTCAAATTGCAACATTCTATGGTCGCCGCTGAAAGTGAACTTTCAGCAGAGACTATTATTGTCGCCGCTGAAAGTGTAATATGATAATATATATTTTATTTTATAATAGTAATAAACAAATTCAATTCGGCTCAATGGCAAAAAGATTGGACACGAAAGGAGGTGGTCACGAGTTCGAATTTTGAAGAAGACACATTTAAGGTGAAAATATTTGGACGATGACATGGCGGGGAGGAGTGATGTGGCAATGATGTGGAGGTGCTAGTGATGACGTGGCACCTAGTCGGTGATGAGGTGGAGGTGGCTAGTGATGACGTGGCGGCTAGCGATGATGATGTAGCAGCCAGCGACAATGACGTGGTAGCCGGTGGCGATGACGTGGCATTGGTAAAGCCAATTCTTCTTAGGCATCACTTTTAGCGGCGACAAAAAAGTCACCGTTGAACATCTCTTTTGGTGGCGACAAATTGTCGCCACTGAAAATTCTTTTAGCGGTGACATCCGAAAGGGTCTTTCAGTAGTGACAAATGTCGCCGCTGAAATTTCTAAAAGTCACCGCTGAAAGACACTTTCAGCGGCAACCTTTTTAGTCGCCGCTAAAAGTTTTCAATCACGGCTATTATAGCAACAACTTTTCAGCGGCGACTTTTTGTCACCACTGAAAGTCAACTTTTTTTTTTTGTAGTGATGTGAGTTCAACATACAAATAAAATATGCTCAATAAATTAATACGAATCCATAAAATAATTCCAATATAGACCCCCTAAAAAAGAAATATATAAAAAGTTAAAAAATGGGTATGTTTAGTCTAACAAAACGATCTCCACATAGTCATTTAAGTTTATTTATCTGTGAAGAGATTAAAATTGAAAATGCGATGCATAATTCTTACCAAACTTGACGTCCATTGTATATATTTAAGAAAAAATTACGGTGAGGTTTCAAAAAAGAAATGTAATCATAAACAATTTTTAATAATAAGTGAATATCATGAACCTATTATCATTTTTTATGCTCAAAGTTGTTATTGTTTGCAGCTCATTTGTTATAAGACTTTTTGATAGTTATAATTAGGAGATGTTGTGGATCTCTGTACATTTATTAATCCAGGTCTTTTTTCCCCCTATCTTTATATGGTTAATTTCCTTAACATATTCCCAATCAATTACTATGCGGTGAGTTAGCAGGGTGGCGCCATGCATAACTGGCTAATAGTCAGTGGTAGTAGTGGTAGACATAGAAAGTAATGAACCAACACAAGCCGATTAAAAAAGAGCAAGTAGTGTTGGCAAAAAGAAAAAAAGCGAGTAGTAAAGCTTAATTAGCACACTAATTAAAAAGAAGCGTCAAACACGAAAATTAGTGAATGATAGTACTTTAAGAAGATAATAAGCCTGGATTAATTATTAGTGGATGAAATGGTTTAGAGCTTAGACGCGTCTATTTTACTTCAGAGCCATCTATTATATTGTCTGAATAAAAGGATCCAAGAAAAAAGAGTGAAGATAAATAGAATAGTCGTTGCAGAATATCAAAGGTGAAATCTAGGCCAATAAATAGCTACCGTTGAGGGCAATCCCTCCCACATACATCAAACCATACATCGTGAGTGATCATGGAAACCTCATTCTCCCATAGCTATATTGCCAATCTTTTGCTTCTATGTAATGCGACGAAAAAGACCGCCACCTTCTCTTAAACTTCAAACGCACTCTTGTTGATCCCTCGACCGTCCTCTCCGATTGGACCCGTGAGCATGATTGCTGTGATTGGGCCAGAGTTCACTGCGACAACACCACCGGCAGAGTCGTTGATCTTAGGCTCCCTTGTTCTGCCGAATCCTCCTTCCCTGATGGTTGTGAGAGTGAGAAATCACGCTGTCTAACAGGTGATCTCAACCTATCATTGCTTCAACTTGAGTTTATAAATTACCTGGATTTGAGCAACACTGACTTCCAAAATATTGTTCAAAAAGGTTATGAGGATGCGACAAATTGTAGTAACATGTCTTTTATTCATCATCCTCATTCTTGTGAAAATTCTTCCAATCTTCATTATCATGATTTATCTGAAAATGAGAATCCTTGTGTTGATAATATTCTCTGGCTCTCTCGTGTTTCCTCCCTCAAACATCTTTACCTCGGTGACATGGGTTTTCAAAAAGAAATAGATTGGCTCCAATTAGCGACTCTCCTTCCTTCATTCACAGAGTTGTCCTTGGATGGTTGTTTTCTTGGAAGCATCACTCCGTATCTCCCGTTGTCGATTTTACTTCCCTTGAAGTTCTTAGTCTTCCTTATAATGCTTTTGGCACTCAATTCTCGCCTCATTGGTTGTTTAATCTTTGTGATCTCACAATTGTCGACTTGAGCTATAATCATATTCAACGTCAACTCTCAAAAAATTTATTGAATCTTCAAAAATTAGAAAAATTGTATTTGAGTGAGAATAAACTCAGTGGATTGATTCCAGATTGGCTGGGCCAGTTTGAACATCTACAAGAACTTATCGTCGATAGAAATATATTTTCTAGTCCTATTCCTTCAACTTTGGGAAATTTGTCATCCTTGACTGCTTTGGATGTTAGCTCAAACTACTTGAAGGATAGTCTTGTAGAAAGTCTTGGAAATCTGTCATCCTTGACTACTTTGGATGCTATCTCAAACTACTTGAGCAATAGTCTTCTAGAAAGTTTTGGGCAACTCTTGAACTTGGAGGCGTTAGGTTTTGGTGATAATCAATTGACAGGGCATTTGACCGAAAGAATTTTTGTCAATCTCTCAAATTTGAAATACCTTTCCATGGGATCTCCGGGCTTAATCTTCGACTTTCATTCTCTTTGGGTTCCTCCATTTCAACTTGAAAAACTTATTTTGACAAACATGACGGGTCCTAAGCTTTCTTCATGGCTATATACACAAAACGTCTCTTATAAGTTTAGAAATTGCCTCCTCGAGAATTTCATTTGAATCTGCAGACAACTTTTGAGGCTTTGCAATCCAGGTGGCATACCTGCATTTACATGATAACAGGATTAATGGGAACTTGTCGAACATTTTACAGAACAACAGATGGATATTTTTAGATTCAAATAAATGTAAAACTGGCCTCCCTCGATTATCACCAAACGCTGTCTTTTTCTGTGCAAAAACCAACTCTTTTTAAGGACCCCTTTCTCCACTGTTGTCTCAGAAAATGAATGGGAGAAGCCAATTAAGGTATATAGACTTATCCAAAAATTCTTTATTTGGGGTATTGACGGATTTTCGGATGAATTGGAAGTCATTGGTTATTGTAAGCTCAGCGACAATAATCTAACAGGCACAATTCCGCCATCATTGAGTTTTCTGTCCAAACCTACAATTCTGCAGCTCAACAAAAATCTCTTATTCGGAGAGATACCTTTGTCACCGGAAAGTCGTGAAAATCCATAGATCCTTGATCTAGAGGAAAATAAACTTTCCGATTATTGTGGTAATGATCCTTAGGATGAACCGTTTACGTCGTTGAGTACGTACATGGCATTTGTGGTAAGTGAAACAAACTTCTGATTTAAGATTTGACTAAGTTTTTTAAATGCTATATAGTCATTTGTTTATCTTCTATTCTGATGACATAGCTTTGGATTATATATCATGCGGGTACTTCGTATGCATGTTTCAGTAAGTCCTCATCAAGAGTGTTTTAGACGGAACGTTGCAAGGGAGGACGAAATGATGCTATTGAAGGCATATTACAGTGAAGTTCTTAGTTTGAGTGCTACTTTGAAGTCGTGTAATATATATAAATATATATATATATATTTATATATTTATATAGTTCCATTTTCTGCGTAAAATTTGTGTCCTTAATAAGTAAGTGCCCTTAAATAAAGGCGAAATTAAAATATTTCTTTTTAGTAAGCAATAGGAAATGGCGTAAAGTTTTTTATTTATCACTTTTAAAGGAAATTAAGCACTGCCATGAAATCCTATAATCCCGGTAACCTTTGCTTATTTTTTTTCTTTTAAAAAAATGGGACATATGATTCCATTTCAGATGTTTTATATTTAAAAAGTAAATAAATGCATATAATTCCTTCTATAGAGAGATGGAGTTGACAAGCCAAACAGACGCTAATAAGCATCCACCCAACTCACATGAGAAGCCATTAAAAACAAATCAAGATTGGAGTAACGACAGGTAGCCACAACAAAAAATATTCATTTAGTTACGGATAATCCGTCTTCATTGGAGATCGAAATTAAAAAAATGTTTTTTTTGTATAATTATTAAACTCTTAAATAGAAAAAGGATGACGAAAAGTTAAATATTAACAACGGATTTAGGGATGGATTTTTCTGTTTCTGAAAGGCGTGTCTCCAAATTCGTCTTTAGTTTGGCAAATTTCAAATAAAATTATCTGGACATTTGTCAGATTAGTTTGACGCTTATCCAGAGATTTTTTGTTTTTTTGGTTCTTTAAGTAGTCAAGAGGCGAAACTCAGTCTATCTCCATCGC